CCACATAGGTATATTATTTAAATTACTTTTAAAATTAGTTGCATATTAATTGATCATAGTTATGAATATGAGAGCAAGACTATATTATATTTAGTATAATATTACACGTCATACAAAATATATAATGAATAAATAAATCAACAACAGGGTATTATCAACAGCGTTAATTTATTTTGGGTAAATGTATAAAACTCAAATGTTATTTATTATTTTAAAATATGCATTGTTTATATATATATTTAATAATTATTTATATATACCTATATAATATATGTATACATAAATTAATAATATATTATGATAATAATATTAAACGTAAAATATAATAATATTAGCAAATCGCCAAAAAATCACAATAAGAACAAGGATAAAAGAGACAGACTAAAAATACTGATTAACATTGATTTTATTATTTATCAGATAAATATTACATTATTGATTATTAATATAAACATGCAGACCAACATGGTTATTTTTTAATAATCTTTGTTATCTTTACTAATTTACAATATATTCCATTTTAGATATAAATAGTAAATACAGTGGCAAGTATTTTATATTAAGTTTAGGTACGTTAGAACGTAAAAATCAATTAGCGCGCGATGAAGACGACAAATTTATAAATTTTTTTAAATTTTTTTATAGCATAATTTATTTAATAAAAATGAATACTTATTAATGTTCCTGTAAAGTTTATTAGCTTATAAAGCTTATTTACATGTTACTAAGCTCATTATTTAAATAGAAAAAAAAACACTGTGTAACGAGCGTACTAGAAAGGCACCTAATTGTATAAATGTATTATTTATATTATATAGTATTAAAATAATAAATTTTTATGTTTATTTCAATAGTAGGTGTATTAGATATTATCTTGTCTTAAAAGGATTTTGGTTCAACCATTATTGGAAAAAAAATATGATGTTGGTATATTGTATTAGGTACCAACAAAATATGACGTCATTGAAATAAATGTAAGTAATCTGTTCAAAATAAATAAGTACTGAAAAGTAAAAAACCACAGAAGCATAATATTATGTCAATCTTGGCAGTATTCAATGCCTATGTAAAAGACACTTCTGTTATTAAATTACTTAGGTACTATTTTTTTTTAGTGACGTCATTCTTTTTGGGTCGTTACTCGTTACTCATTTTAACATGTATACGGATAGATCAATTGATTGTAAAATGTATTCGGCTTGTGTCGTTCAAAGTTATTGTCTCAATTAAAACAAAAAAGACGATGATTATTGTTATACACAATAATTTGGTCCGAAACAAAAATGACAAAATAACCAAATTCCTACAGTTCCATATTATGTAATTATATTGAATATTCACTCTATACCTAATAATGTATCAGTTTAATCGAATCACTATAATAAGTATTATCATTTATTAGTATTAGTATAAGTTATTAATATTATTATTATTATTTTCATTATTATTATTATTATTATTATTATTACTAGACGTATGGTAGTATAAATTAAGAAAACTTAACAATATTAATAACAATAATCAATAGCTCGAGCAGATAACAATATTATGCTAAACAACTAATTACGTGTTAAACAAGATTGTTCGACTAGATTAATACTAAACTATATTATATTCTATATAGGCACAACCGAAATAAAACAAAGGAATTACTAAGTGGGATTTTCTTACTTCAACGTAAGAAAATATCACCACGTTTACAATTTATTTACTTATTATACAATATATAGTTTTACTAGTTTAGTTATTAAATATTACGTACCAAATGGCAAATACGATATACGAGTACATTTCCGAAGTAAAGCATAATAATATCATATTATCAATATAATCAACAATAACAGTCGTGTTCAGTAAATAATATAATAATAGTTATTAAATAATAAATATCAACAAAAATTCGTGTACAAACTCAATATTATAATAATAGTAGGTAATAAGTAATAACATAATAATTAATTAATTTAAAACAAATGTTATTATTATTATTTTTTTTTTTTTTTTTGGGAATTACGTCGAATAGAACAACGGTGGTGGTATGTGTGGGGTTTTATTACGTTTGGAATTTTTTTTTTAACATTAAAAAGAAAAACGATATGTTTTTTATGGTCGATAACAATATTTCTTTGATATTATTTGTATTAAAAACATGGCCCATGAACCTTATTATTACCAGGGATTGATAATGACTACCTATTCAATAATACATATGTTATTGTAGGTAGGTCGAAGGGGGCTTCATGTAGCTGGTTAATGTCATACGAGTCAGAATGTTGAATTTTATATTACAATATGCAATATTCACAATTGTCTGGTAATTTTTCCAATGTTAATATATATATTATATATATAGGTAAATAATTAAAGAATACTACACATTCCTACGTATGCCACAGATAATGGTTATCTAAATATCATTTACTTCAAATAGAGATCACCAAAATGTAGGATGGAGTAACGACGGTTTGCATGTGCGCATGTGTACATAGTATTTATTTAATTTTTAATTATAATTAATTTGCACAAAATAGGAAATTATTTTAAGTGGGTAAGAAGTAAATTGAGCTCTCTAAATGTGAATACGGTTATAATTGTATTTGATATGAACAACAACTACTAGAAAAATTACCAACTATTTGTAATGAGTGTCATAAATGTGTCACTTTATGTATACAATTAATATAGTATATTATCATACAGTGTTGTATTCGTAAAATTGGGTGACACTTAAATATAGTATGATTAATATTATATCAATAAATTCATGATAAAACAGTACAATCATATTTTTGTGATAAATCAAATAAATTATGTATATTCGCAAGATACCTATGAATGAATAAAGGAAGTAAGTAAATGATGATATATTTTTTTTAAGTAGCTTTTTGTTTATGTTTTATAAGTTTATCTAATGCGTTTTGTAAGTTTGTCAATTGTTTCATATTTTGTTTTACGTTCCGACGAAATTTGTCTTAAACTTATATTAATATAATACCTAGGTATTTACCTAGTTGAAACGGCACATGCACAAAATATCACCGATATAAAAAGAACGGGAGAAAGAAAGACAGAAAAAATCCAATTGGTTACAACAGCACAAAATAAAATAATGTATATCGAACGCATGTTTAACAAATCGTGAATTCAATTCGACACGGAAACTGTAGTTTTAGTAGGTAGTAGTACAAACACAGCGGACAAGGTTCTCAACGGTTTTCGGTGCAAGTTTAGTGGTCTACTCCGCTGCCCCTGACGAGTGCGACAAAGTTCGTGAACAAAATCGTACCGTCGACGTGTGTCCGCCACTAAACCAAATACATGGAACTCGTGCATTATTCAAAATATGAGCCTCATAGGAAGTCTCCATAATATTATGCATTCCGAGTCAGGGGATAACATGGTGAAATGTTATGTTATCTTTGAACAATTGTTATCATCATCACAATATCAATGTTAAAAATCAAATCGGAATGCATATGGAGGCTCCCGTATGGTCTCATTTCCCATGTATGAGAATTATACATAATACGCATTCCATGTATTTATGGTGTATTTGTGGTGTCCGCCGGAAGAAACATTGTTATCGATGAGGTATGGTGCGATCGGACGCCCCTCGTTAATATCTGGTTTGCGTCATCGACTCGATTACTATCATTATTATGGAGGTCACTATAGGCATATTAATTGTCAGCACAACGATCACGTGCACACCACACGATTCCGGGGTACGGATCAAGCATAATATAATATTATTTAAAAACGAGCTCGATTTTTAATTTTTTTTACAATATATTTACAGGGGACACGCGGGGAAGCCTGTTCTAATCATCGTTAAAAGCCTGTACGTTCACGTCTCCTCGCCGTCGAATTATATTATTATCAATAACTGCTTGCAGTACAATGTCATAATTCATGCGTGATGCGTATAAATTCTAAACGTCCAACGGGGCACGGAAGATCACATCATAGTATTTATAGTAGGTATATATTATTATTATTATTACATAATATTATGATTAAGCGTTTTTTCGTTTTCCAAAAAAAAAAAAAAATTGTCCTTATAATATATTATAATATATATATGATTACAGCACGAAACGCCTTCGAGTTTACACGGTATATAATAACATACGATTGTATATAACAGACTTAAGTTTTTTTTCTTCAAAAATTCAATTTTTTTTTTATCAATTTTAAATTTTAAATTAATTAAATATAATGTAATTACATGATTAATTAATATAGTATAATATATCGCGTATAAATAATTAGTCATCGTTATAAGTAGGTAAAATATTTTAAATCGACTTAAACATAGCATAAATAATATCAATATTATTCGGATATCAGCTGATGAATAGAATGGAATATAGCAGTGACGGAAAGGGAAATAATATGGAAAAACCTCGTAAGACTGGTTTTTCTCGGGGAAAATAACGAAAACGAGACATCGAACTTTCCCGTCGATAATGGTAAAATGCGATAAAAGCAAACGTGACGATACCCATAGGTATCTTCAAATTTTCGTGGAAACATAATGTTATTATTTAAATAACGAAAAGTACGCAGGAAAAATGTAACTTGGCACGATTCAGATAAAAAAAGACATATTCACTCTCTCACATACACACACACACTCACACACACATTCACTCTCACACACATTCACTCTCTCACATATATACACACACACACACACACACACACACACACACACACACACACACACACACACACACACACACACACACACACGCACACACACATACACACACACGCACACACACGCACCCGCACACACATATACAAATTATACCACTCACTTGCTTACATTTACACACGAAAATATATTAGACACTAGTACACAACGCTCCGATTTTATTTTGTTCGTCGGTCATAAATTCAAATAAATGCCGTGTGTTTATTCATTTTTTTATATTTAATTTATATGTGTGCGTATAAAAAAAAAAAAATTGTGCGTCGTCTTTCTTCGTCCCGCGTTATACGGCATCAACTTCGTGGCAAACTTCCATGTATTCCTGATGATGCATGATGTCCTTTATTAAGTCTTTCAGTATATTGTAGCGTGGAAATATCGGGTACACTTTTGAGTTGACATATTCTACCTGTAGCAAAATAAATCGGCCAAGTTAGACGCCCAAGTGACACAAAATATAGAGCAATTCCGGCGAGTGGGAGTGGTGGATGTGTGCATTCAGCGTTGATGGTTGACAAAGGCGGGCTTCGGGAAGTTATATTTAAAGGCACTACACCGTGAAATAGATGGTGCTACGCGGAGTGATACAAAACCGAAGTAACGTTTTTGTAAGATATGTAAAATTAATTACCAACTACCTGCTAGTGTTGTATCGATTTTAAAATCAATTAGAAATATGTGAGAAATTAGTCAGAAATCAGAATAGAACCAAAAGTAAATTTCATAAGTTAATATCATGTTACTAAAGATACATACGCATACGATAGTATATAAACAAATCATAAATGTAAGCAAACTGTATTATATATAGTTATTATAAATTATAATATTTATACCTTGAGTTCTCTTATAAGATTTCTTAGGCCAGTGTATTTCTTTAACAATCGGTAGAGGTCGTTTGTCATTTGTGTATTCTCTGCTTCAATTTGAGCCGTCGTCATGTCTGTAAATATGAATAATTAATTATTATACATTTCATTAAATTAATTAGTAAAGTTGCTTTAGAGCGGTAGATAACATTTACTATTCATTATTAATTATAATTAGGGTACACAATATAGATTAAGTTTAATAATATTATTGTATTGTGCATTAAGTCCTTATAGCTACTTTGGATAGTGTATATTTAAATCAATTGCTAATAAAAGTAAAATTAAAAAGTATTTTAAATTCTAAATTCTAAGTAGTTTGATCATATTCCAGAGCTAAAAAAAATTTGAATCTAAAATATAGAATTTATATCAAAATTATTTATTATTATATTATTTTATCAACAATAGTTATTTTTACCTTGAAAAATTTCTATGTTCAATTGTGATTGTGTATACATTTATATAGAACTTTTTTATAAAGCATGATTTGAGATAGAACCATAATCTTTTTACTAGAGTAAGGACTAAGGAGAGAACCTATTTAAAGTGAATTATTTTACACAGAATATTTTTAATATAATTTAAATATTTAAAATATAATATTTTTTATTTTATATATATTTTTTTATATTTAATATTTTAGATTCTGAGCGGAGCAAGGAAGCTAGTGGTTTTACAATGGTGTTTATTTTTTTATTTTTTTATTCTTTTTTTTTTTATATCCTGTATACAAAATGTCTACCAGAAGGAGTGCTTTGATTTCAACATATAGTACCTTATCTTTTAGCAAATTGGACCAAGATGGTACTTTAGAGAGGTCATTTTTCGATTTTCTCAATAGTTATTTAATGCCACGGGAAAAAGTACTGAAAAATTACGAAAAACCGCTTAAAATGGGATTTTAATTTCTAACAATTTGTTTATCACCGTAGCAACGAATAAAAAAAGGTGGGCAAGTGGGTGTCGCTCTGCTGTACAGTAGGTTACAAGTGGGTCACTGTATAATGGATGGTATTAAATTTGAATTCAATGATATAATATCATTGTATAAGAAAAACGATTCTGAGCGGTGACGGTATGTCAGTGTATGTATAAGACATATTATATACTTATCTATGGTATTAAAAAAATTGACCTATAATGAATTCCAAATTAATCATATCACAATATCCATTAGGTACTTATAACGCGTTATACATCAACAAAAACCGTGATACTATCATAGATATATAATAGTACACTTTAGAAGTTTCAAGTACCCACGAATCATATTATTCAATCACAACAAAATAACTAAAATAGTTATTCTAGGTTTTTTAATATGTAATTTCGTCCAAATTTGAATTTAAAATGTCTGTAAAAAATAACTGTGTTCATATATTTTTTAGATTTTTTGGTTATAGTATGAACTATTTATGAGAACCTTTGTGTTGAATTTGTAATCCTTAGCTATAAAAACTGAACATTTTATAATTTATTAATTACAATGATTGATAATTTTTGAGATTTTGATAAATTTTGTCAACATTTGATCTTTAAATGCTTATAAAAAAAAACTGTGCCTATGTATTTTTAATATTTTTCAACTGCTATTGTAACAATATATCAGGAGCCTTGTATTAAATTTTTACACTTTTTGGCCCAACAGATAAAACTTTATTGATATTTGTAGAAAAAAAAACTAAAAAAAATTGAAAGCTGTAAATGTCCATAAACAGCTCAAAAAGGGTCAAAATATTTTCAAAATTGTATGGTGTATAGAAAATGCTAATTTAAACATTCAGTGAAATTTTCATGTATCTACAGTTGTTCGTTTTTGAATTGCAACAAAATAAGGAAATCGCTACATGAGTAATCGAGTGAAAATCCAATGTTGTAAAAATTTGAATTTCAAACGCTCATAAAAATTTAATTTGACTGTCCGGTAGAGATTTTTTTATTGATAAAGGTAGATAATCTTATAAGGAATCTTGTGTTTCATTTTCAAATCTTAGATTTAAAAAGAAAAATTTTTACGAATTCTTAACTCAAAATAATTTGCTAATTTTCGTGATTTTTCCATATTTTGTCAATTTTTGAACTTTAAATGCTTATAAAAAAAAACTGTGACTAAGGATTTTTAATATTTTTCATCTGCCTTTGAAACAACATATTAGGAGCCTTCTATTAAATTTTCAAGCTTTCGCAACCAACAAATAACATTTTATTGATATTTTTAGAAAAAAAACTAAAAAAAAATGGAAAATGAAAATGTCCCTAAACAGTTCAAAATAAATCAAAATATTTTGAAAATTTTATCGTGTATAGAAAATGCAAATATAAACAACCAGTGAAAATTTCATGTATCTACGGTCATTTGTTTCAAAGTTACACCAAAAACCAAATTCGATTTTGTCAAAAACTGATTTTGCGTAAAAATTCCCGTTTTTTCCTTAATTTTTATGTTGTTTTTCCCGGCGCTTGTGAAAACTATTGGGAATTTTAAATTTTGACCTCCCCAATGCACCAACGATATTCACTTTCCAATCGAACAAGATACTGAAGTCGAAAATCGAAGCATTATTTCGACTACTTATCGTGTACACAGACACAAAAATAAAAAAAACAAAAAATAAAAAAATAAAAAAAAAAAAATAAAAAAAAAAACACACATCATTGTAAAATCAATACATTCATCGTTTCACTCAGAATCTAAAAATAATAATTAAATAAATAAAATAATTAATGACAATATAAAATATACAGACTGACAAACCGTCTCCGTTCAGAATCGTTTTTCTTATACAATGATATTATATCATTGAATTCAAGTTTAATACAATCCATTAAACAATGACCAACTTGTAACCTACTGTACAGCTGAGCGACATCCACTTACCTGCCTTTTTTTAATACTCAATCACAATATACATATTTAAATAATAAAGGTTCGTCGATTGGGCTGTCGGGTATACTATAAGCCGTTAATTGTGGTCAAGAATACAATGTAATGTTTATAATAATGACACAATAAAAACATGTAATAATATCCATTAATGATAATTATGCAGATTATAATACATACAATATTATTGTCAATCATAGATTTTAATCTACAACGCTCACACCATTTTTTAATATGAAATTTTTTCATTCTTCAACAACAATAATTTACAAAACTAAATAAAACATTTTCTCTCTAAATACATTTTAACTAATAGAAATTTCTATTATACGAGTATATAGAGTGAGTTGAACGTAAATTACAATTTATATATGATTTACACAAATATAGAATATTTTAAAATTGGCAATTTCAAAGAATAAAAGGGCTAGAAATATAATTTAAGGCTTCAAAAATCAAAATATTTTACCTGTAAAATAATAAGTTAATAAGTGATTTTATGAAAAGCCACACATTGAAGATTTTCACTTTTGGCCACGATTAAGCGAATCGTAACCTGAAACTTACGTGTCAAATGCTCGTTAAAATATTTTGTAAATGTATGTATTGTTATTTTAGCGGCACCCCGATTGTCATATTATACCCAAAGGCCAAAGTGGTTTTATGTTAATCGAATGGACAACAAAATATATACCAATTGAATTTGATCACTATTGTCTGCTATTTGAAAATGGATTGTTATGTGAAACTCAATTACAATCCCGCATACAATAATATGACATTTAAAGTATTGTTACATTGTCGCTCGTGCATTATTAGTGTGATTTTTTGAATGTTAATAATTTATTGTGTTTTAAAATATATTGGAGAGTAGTCTGTTGTGTCTGTTGTGTCTGTTGTGTCTGTTGTGTCTGTTGTTGAAATTATAAATGTTGAGGTGTATATTATGATTGCAGTACACACTTTTTGATAGGGTCATTCACTTGGAAGTATTTCGGATTTTTATTTAGTGGCTGTCGTCTAAAATATCAGGGGACAAACAGACAACGCAATAGATAACAATGCGTAAAACAGCCCAAGGACATGCTCTCAGAGGAGCTGAAAACTTTTATTTTCAGTTCTGACGGTTGTAAAGAGTGCATAAAAAAATCCTAAAGAAAAATGACCTATATGTGTATTTATTTGGCTTTTACATGATATATGAGTACAGTATTTTTAGCGTTTGAAATCCAGAGAGATCATTTTAGATGTAGGTATTATTATTAGTATAATAATAATAATAATAATAATAATAATATAAAATATAACTAATTACCATTAATTATTATTATTGTTTGTTAAAAGTATTTATTAAAATGTACTGATCGAGCAATAATCAGTTAGAACGATAATAAAATATCAATGTAACAAACTATTAAAGTATGTTAATTACGCTGGAATATTATCAACACTAGTTGTCATAGAAATTAGAAGCTGATATTTATCTGAAGCCAGAGCTTTTCCCTTTTATCAATCTATAGTTATCAGTCAATAAAATCTAGTTTTCAATTTATTTATGCAATTTGTTCGATCAAAAAAATAAAAATAATTAAGTTACATAAAAAAATACATGAGCACATGTGTATGAAAAGGCCTGTCGTAATGAACTGACTTTATTAGGAATTAGCTTAAATCTGAATCACAAAAAAATAATACGTTTATCTTGTGGTTAAGTGCATTTTAATCTATTTTAATTTTTCTTTACTATGTACCACTCTTTTACGACCCTTTTCTTGGGCTTTACTACCTATGAAGCTATGAAACGAATGCATGTAACGAATAAAGATATTCTAAAAGTGGCATCAATGATATAGTTTGGCATCTGGAGGGAGGTCGTAACTTTTAGGTTAATTATCAAAATACAATTCTTTAAGCTAAAAAAAATATTCTATTTCTATAGCACTAATCTTCGGAGGGCAGAAGCTCATTTTGATGAATATATAAAGTGGTAAAATGTTTCTTATGCATTATAATTTATTAATTTATAATAAAGATGTGCAGCTCCCATAATGCTTAACATACTTATATTTCGTTATTATTTAGTTAGTATGATTCAAAATATATTTATTTAAAAATATATCTAATAAAGTTATAGAATAATTTTGTAAAACGGAAGAAATTGGTTTATAAAAATTGAAAGTTTTAATG